AGAATAATCGTAATAGTATTAGTAGTAGTAGTAGTAGTAGTAGTAGAAGTAGTAGTAGTAGTAGTAGTAGTAGTAGTAGTAATAGTAGTAGTAGTAGTAATAGTAGTCGTAGTCGTAGTAATAGAAGTAGCAGTGGTGGTGGTGGTGGTGGTAGTAGTAGTAGTAGTAGCGATAGTAGTTGTACCAACAGTGCTAGCATTAGTAGTAGTGGCAGCCGTAGTAATACTAGTAGCAGCAAAAGTACTGTAGTGCGGTAGTAGTGGAAGCGGTAGTAATCACAATACACGTAAGACCAAGAGTAGTAGTAGTATTAGTAGTAGTACTATTACTAGTAGTTGTAGTAGTAGTAGCAGTAGTAGTAGTAGTAGTACTAGTAGTAATAGTAGTCGTCGTAGTAGTAATAGTAGTAGTAGTAGTAGCAGTAGTAGTAGTAGTAGTAGTAGTAGTATATTGAGTAGTCACAGTAGTAGTAATAGTGGTGTTGGCAGTGGTAAGGGTAGTGTTGTAGTAGTAGTCGTAGCAGGCAAAGCAAGACTCGTAGCAGTCGTAGTAGTAGTCGTGGCCACTCTCAGTAGTGGTAGTAGTAGTGGTATTAGTAGTGACAGTAGTAGTACAGGCAATACTTATACTAGTAGTAGTAGTAGTAGTAGCAGTAGTAGTAGTAGTAGCAGTAGCAGTAGTAGTAGTAGTAGTAGTAGTAGTAGTAGTAGTAGTGATTATAGAGTAGTAGTAGTAGTAGTAGTAGTAGTAGTAGTAGTAGTAGTAGTAGTAGTAGTTCCACAAGTGGTGGTGCTGGTAGCAGGAATAGCAGTACTAGTAGTAGGAGTTGTTGTAACTGTAGTAGTCGGCGTCGCTTCAGTACAAATAATAAGATTAAAAAGCAGTCGGCGTAGCAGTAGAAGCAGGAAATAATAGTAGTGGTCGTAGTAGTAGGAGTAGAAGTAGTAGTACTAGCTGTAGCAGTAGTCGTAGCAGAAGTCGTAGCAGTAGGTCGAAATAGTAGTAATGTTCGTAGTGTTGACCTCAAAAGTTGGCCCTCCTGCAGCCCTCGAAAGTTGGCCTTTCTAGGGCTTATTTCGGCGCCAAGAAAAATCAATAAGGGTCCCAGGAGGGCTCCAAGAAGGCCCCAAGAGGGCCTTAAGAGTGGCCCAAAGAGACCTCAAGAAGGCCCCCAAAGCGCCCCCTTCCCCTAAGGATTTTTCAGGATTCCCATGGATTCGCAAATATTCCCAAGGATTCCTGACGGAATCCGGAGGAGTCCTGATCCTAAGGATCCTAAGGAATCCCAAGGACCCTAAGGAATCCTAAGGATCCTAAGGAATCCTAAGGAATTCTAAGGAATCGAAGCACTTCTGAAGAAGAAGAAGTACTCTGAAGAAGAAAAAAGTACTTCTGAAGATCCCATGGTTGTAATTGGTTCCATGTATGGTTGCAATTCGCTCCGAACGGTTGGAATTGGGACTAGTCGCTTGTAATTCGTCCCATTTCGGGGGGAGGGGCGGGGGGAGGAGGAGGGAGGGGGATTTAGGGAGACAGGGAGGAGGGGGAGGGGAGAGAGGCAGGCCGGAGAAACGCGAGGAGCCACAGCCACAAATGGCCCCTCCTCCTCCTCCTCCTCCTCCTCCTCCTCCTCCTCCGCCTCCTCGCGATCCGTCTGGCCCCGATGGGCCGCCAGGCAGAGCAGAAAACCGAAACCCCGACACACCTGACAGCGAACACGGCCGTGTGTCCCGGTACCTGGCCGCGAACAAGCCCGTGTCCACGCTTCTGAGCCGCGTCCAATATCACTGATTGTTCATTGGTTTTGTTAAGAATAGCCGTTAACATGGCCGTGTTAACGGCGACCTGGCCGATACCGCGGGCGCGTTCACGGCAACTCGGCCGTTAACGCGCCCGCGTTCACGCTTGAAGGCGGGGCTCAAAGACATTGATGTTTCATTGGTTATGTGAAGAATCGCCGTTAGCATGGCCGCGTTAACGGCCACCTGGCCGTTAACATGGCCGCGTTAACGGCCTCCCGGCCGATAAGCGGTCCTGTCTGAAGATGTATGAGACCATACCACCCAAAATTGTGATCCCTCATGCCGAGACGGGGACCTCAAGCATTGAGGCGAATCCAGCGGTGGCGACGAGGGCCTCCCAGGATGCCACAAAAGGGACAACCGAGGGAAGGATAGCAGTATGGGTATCTTTTCCTGGTGCCGTCCGCCTGAGCGAGGGAGCTTCGGGCGAGCCCACCCCTCATGAAAGCAAAAAGAGGCACTACCACCCGAACTCCACAGCACTCCGCTCCCAATGGCCACACCTGCGAACAAGCTGCACTCCGTTCCGGGCACTCTGGGGGCGCGCCCGGAACGGGATGCCACCAGCTCGATGGGGAGGAGCGGCCAGCCCCTCTAGATGCGGGTGGTGGTTCTTTCTTCTCTGGTGACCCCCGGAAGCCTCCTCCCGCGTCCGCAGCTCGCCCCCCCGCGGGATCGCGTTCCCCCGTGAGCTCGCCCGGGCGGCCTGGCCATCGAGGGACCTCGCGGGCGAAACACATATCCGTATATCCGCAGCCTCGCGGGCCAAGTCCCTGGGCCGCGACCCTGCGGATACAGCTTTAGCATCGTTTAACCGACCCCTATCCCCATTGGTGTGGCTTGGGCCCCACTGGCCGATGTACCCCCCTAGATTTTTTTTTTTGCACGCAAACACACATCAGTTTCAGCCCCTGCTCCGATCAGTACGGCCAAAAATAGGCACGCTCGGTTGCATTGGATCCGCTTCCCCTCATGGGGGCTATACCCGCACCCAACGAAACGCGCACGGAAATTAAAAGGGTGACCTCGGAGCGAAGTCCTGCGGCCGCCGTGGATTACCCTACAGCTCCCACACCGATCCAGGGGAAGAGGGACGAGGAGGAGGAGGAGGAGGAGGACGAGGGGGACAAGATGGCAATGGCCCTGGGCTCGGGGAGACTCGCCTGTCAGAACACTGCGGACTTGAAATTCCGACCTGCCGCCGTCTCCTCGGAGAGACGATGCAGAATGGCAAATACGAACTAACCAGTCGTGTGCATGAGGTGACTGGCACACGCACTGGAAGGTCGAGAGACAGCGAAGGCCCTCGAGTGACATAAATTGTTGGGTGCGCACACTCGCCAACTGAGAATATACTATGTGAGATCGGGCACAGAAGCGCCGGGCACACGCGACGCTGCTCTGCAGCGGCTGACTGGAGCGAGCCCTGGCTGATAATGCAGCCAGGGGTCGGCCAGGAGCGGCCGCAAAAACCACCGCGCGATGCCCATGCATCCGGCAGCATCGAAACCACCAATTCGGGGCAGGAGGGAGGAGGAAAAGAGGACGAGGAAGAAGGAAGGGGAGGATCGCCCTCGCCGAGCGTCGCACCAGAACACACGCCCTCCGGCCGATCTGGACCACACGGCGCAGGGAAAACTGGAGAAAAGACATCCGGGCCACACTGCCCAACTTCACGCCGTGCAAGGGGGGAGTGAGGAGGAGACCGGAAGAGGAGGCGGAGTGCCGGCCCACCCCGGAAGGGCAAGCCGGAGCACCGCCTCCAGGAGGCGAGCGCGAAAGGAAGAGAAGGGAGGGGGGATAGTCGTTGCAAGGCGCGGAGCCGACGAAGATTGCCTAGGAATCTGATTGTCATGGCCGCGAGGCCGATAGAACGGCTTATCATTCACTGCCGGAGAGACCGTACAGGCATTCTGTGGCAATCTAAACGGTCGCCAGCCGCGGCGGCCGACCGACTGGAAATTCGACCGTATACTATACCTGCCGCGCTCTTTGGTTCTAGTTTGTTGCGCCGTGCCGGGGCCAGATTCCAAGCTCCTGGGGAAAAAACTCACACCGCACGGGACGGGCCGACATTGGGCCGCAGCGAGGTGGCCGGAGTCCGGGGGACAAAACCAGCCCCCCCCCTCCACACAAAACGCATCCAAATGTCACGGAGACGGTGCGTGAGAGGGAGGGGGAGGAAGAGCAAGAGGGAAAAGAGAGGAATCTGTCAGTCAAGCGCGGCGCGTCAACGGCTCCACCGGGCACCATCCCGCTGGCCTCCACTACGAGACGTTGGCCACCAATGAGGAGGGAGGGAGGGAGGGAAGGGGAGGAGGAGGGCGAGGAGGAGAGGTAGAGCGGAAGGCCGCCGACTGAGCCAGGAGCAGCGCGTCACCTGTAGGAGTCCGCCCCCCCCACCGCCACCTGCCGGCGCTTCCCGACGAAGTTCTGCAACTGCCCGCCGAGCACCTCATCGACTCCCTCTCCCGCGCGCCTGGGCCGCGTCGTACGCTGCGCTGGCTTGCCTGTGGCCTTTCACGACCTCCCGGCAAGCCTGCCGCAGCGCCTCCACCGCTGCCGGCCCCCGGCGGAGCTGCCCGTGACGGCAATGGCAATGGACGCGGTACATCGCTGCCAAGCGGATGCCCCGCAAAATCACTGCGTCGTCATCCTCGGCGGCCCGGAGGTCCAGGCCCAGGAAGGCGGCCAAGCGGCCCTGTGGCGTGGCCGCCCTTGACATGCCCAACTCTCTGGCTAAGATCGAATGGGCAATCCTGCAGTTCGCGTAGTGCTCGATGGAATCCGGGCTGGTCTCGGAGCACCCGAACATGCAGCCCGGGAGACCCGACCGCCCTTGGGTGCGTCGCGAGGTTGGCCAGCCGTTCCACATGGCTCGCCAGGATGCCGCCCAAACGCGGGGCGGCGCCGCCTTCCCCAGGATCCTGAGGAATCGCATGCCATGCGATACCCGGGTGCGGGGGTACTGGTCGACCGCCCAGCGGTCGAGTTTGTGCCTCACGCGCGGCTCCAGCTCCTCTGGTCTGGTAGTCGTCAACAGGGTAGCGGCGCAGCCCTGGAAGCCGCGACGGAGGCTGCGGGCTTGTTGCGCCGTGAGCGGCCGGGCAATCTCGCCCCCCAGAAGCTGCCGTTCGACTGCGTGAACAGTGACGCCCTCGGCGCTGCACTGCCACTGATTGTCGTCCAGCTGGCAGATGTAAGAGCGGTCGAACCAATCCGCCCAGGCAGCGGCCACCATCATGTTGTCGGAATTCATGCGAATGCGGCGGAGCTCCGTGGCCCGGGCCGCTACGTGCAAGCCTCCCGCAGGGCCGTTCTCCATTGCTGCAACCCGGAGCTGCGCTGCCCTCTGCCGCGCGCGAAGATCTGCGAACCCGCGGGGGAAACCGAGGACTTGGAGCTGCCGAAGGTCTTCCGGGCATGTCCATAAGTTGGAGCCAGGAACTAAGCGAGTGAATACCTCGGCCTCCACTGTCTCCCAGCGCGGTGGCAGGGCATCCAGCTGCATAAGGAATCCGAGGACAGATGCAATATAGACCGTGTAGGCAATCGTCGTCAAGTAGAGCCCCCCGCCTGCGGCCCCCCACCAGCTCGCCCTGTCTAGCACCTTGTCGAATGCCTTGCTGTACCCGTCATGCCCGCGCTCGGGGCCGAGGAGGAAGCCGAGGTATCTTGCTCGCCACGCGACTTGCGCGCCGCTCCATCCTGGGTGCATGGAGAGCACCTCGCGCAGCACAGTCGCGGCGTCGCCGCGGAATAGCGGGACCACGTAAGTTTTCGGCATATTCAAATGCAAACCAGATATGCGCCCGAAGTCTGCAAAGATGGAAAGTAGGGCCGGAGCGGACTCGAAAAGGTCTGGGGTAACTGCCGCAATGTCGTCCGCGAAGGCCCTTGACACCAGCGACGGCTGTAGTCTCCGCAGCCGCCTCAGCAGCACGTCCACTGCAACTGCAAACAAGATCGGCGAGAGCGGGCAGCCTTGCCGAATTCCCGTCCTCGAAGTAAATCCAGGGTGCACCGAGCCGCCCACCACCATTGAGCAGTGGTTCCCCATGTACAGCACGTCGACAAATCGCAAGAACCACGGCGGCAGGCCCGCTGCCCGGAGCAGCCGTTTGAGAAACTTGTGCGAAATGCTCGGGGAGGCGGCTTTGAAATCGAAAAACCAAGCCGCCCCCCCGGTCCGTTCCAGAGCTGTCTTCATCATTGCCGTGTCCACATCCACAATGTTCGCAATCATTGATCGCCCTGGGATGAAGCCGCGCTGGTCTTCCGACACCGCCTTTGACAGGGGCTCCTCGACGCAGATACGAACAGCATTCGCGAGGAGTCGGTTGTCGCAACAAGCCACGTTGAGCGGCCGCGTGTCTGGTGGTCCGTGCCCAGTCACTCCGAGGGTGGTGGTCCCGGCCCCCTTGGGGAGGAAGATCATCAAGCTGCCGTTGAAAGTGGAGATGAATTCGTCGAAGTAGTCTGGGTCGGGCTGCTGCGTAAGAGCCCTGAGGGCCTGCCACAGGACGTCGACCGCAAGGGGGCCGAGCCGTCTCCAAGCGGCAAACGAAAGGCCGTCCGGGCCAGGTGCGGAATTGGGGGAGCCATCAATGGCCGCGGCCACATGGTCACGAGTAATAGCCCAGTCAGAAGCATCCGGCGGCGGCACCGCCAGCGGAGTGTCTTCGCGAATCCACTGCTCCATGAGGTGCTCGTCAACCGGCCTCTGCGAGAATACGTCCTGCCAGTGCTGCCGGAGAGCGTCGGCCATCTCCTTCGGGTCCGTCAGTATCTCGCCAGTGGGAGACTCTACTCCTGTCAGGCAACCAGACCGACCTGGAGCGAGACGTTTGAGCTTGCTGCGAATGCGGTTGCGACGCGCATCCAAATCACCATCGGTGCAATCGCCCTGGTGTCGCTGGAGTGCCGCCAGCTCTTCGATGGCCGCCTCCCGGGCCAGGTCAACCGCCAATTGTCGGTAAGGCTGCAGTTGGCGCCCGCGGACAGTGGCCAACTCGAGCGGCGCGGGCACGAGGGAGGCTAACCGCGGAAAGGCCTGCAGACATTGCCGCATGACGCCGACGTGGCCGCGCTCCGCCGCCCTGATGAACCGGACGGTGTGGCCAACGTCGTCCTCGGGACTCGGCGTCGGTGTCGCCGCGGCGGCCTCCTGCTGCATCCGGTCGGCTGTGATCCTCATGGCCTGCTTGAGGAGGGCGAGAGCTCGCAACGGCGGCACCCCCGAGGATGGAGGCGATTCTGACTGCGGCTGCGGGTCCAGCCCGTGCCGGCAAAACCACTGTTCCTGGAGCTCCTGGTAGGCGGCCGCAACCCGAATCGGCCAACTTTCGTGCGCCACGATCTCAGGCCGGACTGGCATGGCCGCCGGCACGTGGCGAGACGGCGTGCGGCGACCGAAGGCGATGGCTCGGTGGGCTGAGAGGTGCGGCACCCACTCGAGGGCCGTGCACGCGATGTTCCGGTCGAGCTGGCCCACGACATCGGCATTCCAGTAGCACCTGTCCAACCGGCTCCACGCGGAGGCGCTCTCGTGCGTGAGCTCGGGTTGGCGGAGTTCGTACAAGCCCGCCGGCCGCCAAAGCCCGGCTTCGGCGTCCCGCTGCTCTCCGAGGTCGTCTGCGCCTGAGAGCCCACCAGTTGCCTTGTTCAACCTGTCCACGGGGTCGGTCACCCAGTTGAAGTCGCCCATGACCATGGAGAGGACTTCCTCCCTGGGAGACATGGCCGCCGCCATGACTTGACGCATGCTGCGCCGTTGTTCCCGGACAGTCGCGTTCACGTCCCCGGGCACCGCCATGCCCCGCGGCTGAACCATGCCCGGGACCCCAGTGGCGAAGTATACCACGTGGAGGTCGAGGGCCCCCGCGCTGCCCCGCAGCTGGAGCATCGCGGCCCTTCCGGGGACCAGGTGGATCCAACGAGGCTCGGTGTCCGCAAACTGCTCGAGAAACTTCTTTTTGACCACGATGCCAACACCAGCGCGGCTGGTAGTGCCAGGCGAGAAGTAGGAGACGCAGTCGTCGGGGCAGCTCCACACCGCCGTGGCGCCCTCGAGGCCGTGCGAGTCCACGATGGCCACGAAGTCCCGGCGGCGCAGGAGACGGCGGACGTAAGCGTCCTTCTGCTCATGCCGCTGCCGTTTACGCGCAAACAGGGCCTGGGAATTCCAAGTCGCCCCTTGCAGGTCACCCAAGAATGGAAATCGAGTGTGTGGCGGATCCGCCGTGGCAGGCGGCGGCCTGACGATGTCCGGGACGGCCTGTCGAGGCGGCGGCGGGCGCCGGCGTGGCCGGGGGAGCCGCGGTGCGCTTGCTGCTGGGGGAAGGGCCGGACAACGGCCCCACTGCTGGACTGCTAGCTCCGGGCGCTGGCTGCAGAGAGGTGGTAGTAAGAGCGGAAGCTCGGTGGACTGCATCGGCAGAGGCACGTCACGATGAAGCAAAGATGAGAGATAGCCACGTCGGAAAGACAGAAAAAGATCCAGGACGTATCCAAGAGCGCCGTTCGAAGCGATAACTTCAATTAAACTTGCATCCACCCGATCTGCGTCACGTGCTGGGGAGGGTGAGGTCCCAGCATCCCCCGTTGCTGTCTCATTGTGGGGGGAGGGCCGCTGCGGCAGGGCGCCCTCCCCCCCGCCGATTCTGCGAATGAGCACTGGCGGCGGTAGTCTCGACCCTCACGGCAACGAGGTCGTCGCCCACCTGCACTGCTCTGCCCTGGATCGCCGCCCGCACTGCTGCCCCATCGGCCATCGTCTTGAAGTATAGGCGGACTCGACCCGGATCGGCAGTGGGATCGTCCGCCGCGAGACGCCTCCAGGACCCTGGTAGGAGCTGGGCCGCCGACGCCGCCGCCGTCAGGTCGACCCCAGTCTGCTGCCGGACCACGCACATGATGGCAGAGACTGCTGCCTGCGGGTCATAACCCAGCGAGCCCTCTGTCATCAGCTCCGCTGTACAGGGGCCGCCGCCTGGATTTTCCAAGCGAGCTGCTGCTGGCTGCCGGGCTGCCCGCACTCGTTCCCGAGCGGCCGCCGGAGCTGCCACCGCCCGTCCCCCCATGCGGGAGGGTCGCCACCGCAGCCTGGTGACAGCCGCCGCCGGGTCTGTAGCCCAAATCTCGTCGAGGCGCTGCTGCCAGTCGTCGCCGCGGACGTCCGTGCGGATCGTCACCAACTTTGGTTTGAGGTAGAGCGCCTCCCGGCAGAAGCCGTCGACCTTGGAGAGGGCCGCCGGGTCCGTGAGCTCCAGGAGCGGCGCCGCGGGGTCCGCGTAGATGGAGCGGGAGGCGAAGAATACAGGTACCGGCCATGGCTCACGTCGAAGACCGACGAGGAGCATCTGGACGCTGAACTCGGTGACGCTCGGCGGCATGTGAAATTCGGTGCGGGTCCGTGGAGCGTCCGGGGCCGATCCTGGACTCCGGCTGCTGTGGCCCATGCGGATGTTCAGCATATCCCCCAAGGCCAGCACCCGCTGGAACACCGCAGCGAGATGCGCCGGCGGACAATCCACGTAGATCGCAGAACCAGCTCGCACCTGCGCCAACGGCTCGGCGACCGAGAGGACTCGTGGAAGCTGATGCGGTCTGTGAGTGGATATCGTGGCTATCAGCAGGCCACGGGAGACGTGCTGCGGGCCACCAGCGCCCGTGGTCACCATCGGCAGCGCCTGGGTTACGAAGCCCTGTTCCCGAACCAATGGTGCCCACTTATCCCCGAAGAACTCGTGCCAGAATAGATCTCGCACCGCCGTGGTCGTCGTGCAGCCTGGCAACACATCCATGGGCACCAGGAGTCGCAAGGGACGAGCCTCGAAGACCGCCGGCGGGATCTTCAGCAGAGCGTATGGAGGCCGTTTCCTACGGGCTTCGAGAGGTATATCCCCAACTGGGGTGCTGAGATCGTGGGAGTTTGAATGGGGACGGGGAGGGGGATAGAGGTAGGTTTAACGATACTGACAGTTGGCGGCGCGCTTAATGGGGTGGAGGGATGGGGGAGGCTTCTCAGGATGATGCGTCTTAGAAGGCGCGGGCCTTACATCTATAATCTATAGACGGTGCCCGCGCCTCCTCTAAGAAGCAAAGTGCTTCCGAGAAGCCTCCCCTCCTCCTCCCACCCGCCTCTGCGTGTGACCGATACACGGTGATGTGTCGCACATGTCCCGCGCGGAGCGAGTCCGTGCGACCGCGTATGCGCGGGATCGCGCTCTGGAATCCAGACCGCGAGGTCGCGGACACGGATCTCTTCGCCGGTGGCCCCGAGGACCTCGAGGAGGCCGAGGCCGGCCGAAGGCCCCTCGGGGAGGAGGAGGAAGAGCCCGTGCTGGACGGCGTCCGCCCCGAGCTCCGGGAGCGCGGGCGCCCGACCTGCCCGCCGGTCCACTGCCTCGTCAGCCGCGCCAGCTCTCGGTCGCTTTCGTCCACCTCCTCTCGAGGGGGACGAGGTTGATTCGAGGGAGCACGCGAGAGGACACAGGACCCTTCCGAGGGCCACACTGACACAGGAAGGTAGAAGGCATGGACCGCGACGCACAGGACACAGAACATCCTTGCTCTGGCAAGGTCGACCTACTAGTCAGCCTCGAGTGTACACAACCCTCCGCGAAATCAAGCGCCAGTTGAATCACCCCCCCCCCTGCGATTTCCATTGTTCGGCGACGCGCGCAACGCGGTCCGTCGTGTCCGCAGGAAACAAGACGTCACCAGCTTCGACGGAACAAATGAGCTGGGGATCGCCGAGTAGATGGGATATCGGGGGATCGCACCGCAATGCCAATGCATCCGCGATGCACTGGCGATGTACCAGCAGCGCCTGTTGGCAATGCATCGGCGCTGTCGATGTGGAGAAAATCAGACTCCACAGCGAGCCGCATCGCCGATGCGGCGCGATCCTCCGATCCCCACTGACCCCATCTCGGCGGTGGACAAACCTCCCTTTAGTAAACCTCCCCTTCGTGAAAAGGGCCTAAGACCGAAACCGACGGACCTGGACCCGCGAAAATGACGGCCGCGACGCCCTCTCGCGAACCGAAAACGGCCAATTCCTGAATCGACGTGCCAGGGTAGGAGGTCTATCAACCTCCGACCTTCTTGGAGGCCGAGCCTCTTGCTGAATCCCTTCCGCTGGTGTCCTTCTGGCCCTCGCCTCGATTGCTTTCCAGCCCTCGTTCGGTCCCCCCCCTCGCTGCTGCGGCTCGTTGTCGAGAGGGTCAGGGCTTGACGCCAACCGCGGGTACCCTCGGGCCACCCAACGTTTCAAAACAAAGGGCAGGGAGGGAGATTGTTTACGTGCGCCCCCACTTCGATACACAACAGCTAGAATTCATTTACACGTGAATTTACACTGTGAAGATGTGCGAGGGGGGTCCTCACGGAGTCCGTGTGTTGTGCATTTGAGGGGCGGGAGGGCAGGACGCAATAAAAGGCTCTGCCACCACCCACGCAATGTTTGTTTCCCTTTGCCCGCCCGCCCCGTCCCACCCTCATCAAGGCACCACGCACATGAGTTGTCCACACGTTCCCACATACAGATTACATGGCACCCCGCAGCTGTGGATCTGTGGATCAGAGCGAGAGGGCAGCGGGGTCGTCGGCAGCCTGCGAAGCTCTGAAGAAGCCCGCCGCAAGCGCCGAATTATCTGCCCACCTTACTCAATGATCCCGCCGCAGAGGCAGATTTTTTCGTCAAAGCAACGTGAGTGGGTTGCGGGTGGGTCGCCGGTGGGTCGTCAGGTGGGTCGTGGGGTGGTCGCCAGGGGGGGCGGGGGCGCGGGTGGGTCGCGGACGGGTCGCGGGTGAGGACAACGACAACAACGCAACAACGCAACGCAACAACGCAACACCACTTCGCACCGAGAAACACCACTTCAGCAACGCACCCCGAGACAATGAGTGACCGATCGACTCCCTCAATCTGACACTTGTAGGTTCCGCCGCGCTGCAAACATGCATGTGATTGGAGATCTTACCCAGCTGAAACGGAAAGCCACCCACTACCATCGCCGCCACCACCCAACATACAGACCTCAGACAACCTTGTCTCTGGCTCATTGTTCCTGGTGCTTCGTGCCAGCTGTTTTTCCCTGGTGATGCGGGCTGGCGTATGGTGACTTTGGTTTGGGGCGAGGGTTGGCTGGGGGGAGCAAGGAGTCTCCGAGGTCCTAAGGGTGTCCCTGGAGGCCTCCAGATGTACCCGCGGATGCCTCCAGTGGGCCCCCTGAATCCCAAGAGGCCAGAGAAGGGCCAACAGTATTCAGGAACCTCCATCATGTTTCCTCACGCATCGAGCATGTGTATCGGGGTTGGCGTCTCCCTTCTGGTCCTCGTCGCGCTCCCTGGCCAACGCCTCCGTCTCCGCGTCGGAACGCATGTGGGCGGTGACGAGGTCCTCTGGAGCAAGGGCCATCATGAACATGGTTAACTCGCGCATGGTGATCGTGCCGCCGCCGTCGGTGTCCATGGCGCAGAAGATGAGGTCGAGATCCTCCTCGGGCATGTCGAGGTCTTTGAACTTGGTTTTGATGACATCACCGAACTCTTTCCGTGTGATAGCTTGGGAATAGCTCAATTCAAGCATGTCCGCCACTCCATGGGCGTGATTGACCAGTCTCCTGATGCCCGAATCGACGAAACACGAGCAGCATGCCGCTTTCTCTCGCAATTTGTCTTTCGTCGACTTCACACGGGATACGTTAGTTGAGCTCGATCCCGTGGCAATGTTGCTGGAAGACCCCCCCGAAGTCTGCGGTCGTGCCACGTACTCATCGCTGCTGTTGCGCTCGTCCAATGGGTTCATGGTCGCTGCCCTCGCCAACTTCAACAAACGCAACCGGAACCGGCAACTTTGCGCGACCGCGTCGTGAAGCTTCCCAGACTCCGTGTCCTTTCGGAGGGAGCCGACCACACACACTTACATCGATCCTGGCGAGGACCGGCCTGGCCCCAGAAAGGCGCACTGCATACGCAATTTCTAGGACCATGATGGGCCTGGCCCAGGCCAGGGTCGGCGTTGGTGGATCGTTGGCGCCGTCCGATCCTTGATCATCTGCACGACCTGCTCATTGTGGTTCCAGACCCGGAACCCTCCGCCACCGACTATGAGACGCTGCTGTCTCTTGTGATTGCTGGCCTGCTGTCCGAACAGCACATTGATCATCGTATTCGTAGCGTTCTGCAACACTTGTACGTCGTTGTCAAGGAGTCCGCCCGCCTTTCGGAACAGATCCTTCTCGGGCATCATGAGCATGGCAGTCGAGACGTCCCGGAGGCGCCACACTGTGTGAGCCATCTGACCGTGCACCATGCCATCAGGGTTGCAGTGGGACAGCGCCCATTTCGTGAACTTGAGGAAAGCAAATGCGAACGCGCCAACGAACAAAGCCACGATAATGGTGGCGTACATGTCTTTGGACTCCTGCACGCCAGAGCCCACCTTGTCCCTCTTGACGAAAGACGTGGCGAGCACCAGAAACACGATCAAGGAGATCTTGAAGGTGAGGTCGACACGATTGTTTGCTGTGAACTTGAGAGGCTGTATGTAGAACTGGAAGCTCGTGAACATGATCAGAGCAAACAGCGTCGTGTAGACCTGCTCCTGGGGAGGGGACAACAAAGATACCGAAATGCGTGCCCCCTGGACCTATCCCAGCGTGCGTCATGACAAGGAATTCGAAGCAAATCTGGCCACGGCGACGAACTTGGGTCCAAGCTGCCCAAGGCGCCCAAGAGGGCCCCAAGACAGCCCAGGATGGCTCCAACACGGCTCAAGAGAGCCCCAAAAGTACGCCAACAAAAGCCCCAAGAGGCAACACTCATCAGTTCTCTTGAATAGCTGTGTCCTAGAGCTCTAAGCCCTTCGTGGCTCGCTGGTTGGTTGGTTGGTTGGTTCGTTCGTTCTCCCTCCTCGGCTCAGTCCTGGGCGCCCACAGACCGGGCCTCCGCACAGGTCTCCCCAACGGCCCTCGTAGCCCTGTATTTTCGTGGCTCGTTGGTTGGTTTGTTGGTTGGGTTGGATGACTGGTCCTCTGTCCCTGGCCCAGCTCCGGCCCAGCCTGGGGGCACCCGCACTCCAGGCCCGAAGTCCAGGCCCTCTCCCCTGGCTCCCGCCGAGGTCCTCCCCCAGGACCTCGGAGCCCTTTCTTTGGTAGCTTGCTGGTCGGCTGGCTGGCGAGATGGTTGGCTCGGCCGCCTTCCCTGGCTCGGCACCGGGCACCCGCAGTCCAGACCTCCGCGCAGATCCTCCCCTGGCCCCCCCAGCGCCTTGTAATGTCTTGGCTCGTTGAGTAATTGGTTGGTTCGTCCTCCCTTCCTGGCTTAGCCCTGGGCCGCAGAATAGTTGCTTCCCCATGTCCTACGAAATCCCGTCTCATGAATATTGGATTATGCCCCATCCCTTGAATCCTGAGCATGGGATTCTTCCCCATACCCTACGATGGAACTACTGTTATTACTCAGACAGCGGCAGACTTGCTTCTCCTTTATCATCCTTCCTCCTCCTAATCAGACTCACTCATACTGACCCAGACTCTCTTCTCTCAGACTCACTTCCACACTCAGACTCGATCAGTATCAGAATCAATCGCACACACAGATCCTGAGGATGTCTCAGGCGAGGCGCTGGATTTAGTACTTAGAAGGGCGGGCGCCAGAGGTCAGGACATTCCAGGATTCGCGCCCAGATGATAGGAATGCCTCGGGCGGTTTGCTCGCTTGCGTGCTCAATATCCTCCTCGTGTTTCGGAGCAGGCTCTGGGGATGTCTCAGGCGAGGCGCCAGTTTGGACACTCCGAAGGGCGGGGCGCCAGGGGTCAGGACATTTCAGGATTCGCGCCCAGATTGTGGGGATGTCTCAGGCGGTTTGTTTGTTTGTTTGCGTGCTCAGAATCCTTTGGTTTCGGAAAAGACTCAGAGGATGTCTCCGGCGAGGCGCTGGTTTCAGCACTCAAAGGGGGGGCGGGGCCAGCGGTGGGAACACTCCAGGATTCGCGTCCAGATTGTCGGGATGTCTCAGAATCACTCACCTCAGACTCGCTCGCACCCAGGCTCACTCACTTATCACGCAGAATGTGTTCAGACTACCTCACCTTCAGACTCGCTCGCACTCAGGCTCACTCGTACTTAGACTAACTCACGACTCATACCATACATACTCATACACTGACTCATTCACACTCAGACTCATGGTTACGCAGAGTCACTTACACTGAGACCCAATCACGCTCAACCTAAGTCATTCCTGGACCCAGACTCGCCGCTCATACTCACACATATTTGCTCACACTCAGACTTGCCACACACACTCAGACTCACGCACACTCAGGTCCACGCATACTCAGACTCACTCATGCTCAGACTTCCTCATGCCTAGACCCACCCACACTCATGCTGAGACACTCCAATCACTTACGCTCGGACCCGCTCGGATCACCTCACACCTCCTCACCTCCCTCCTCCTCGTCTTCACACCTCAAGGTCAGGCGCACCCACACTAAATTTCAAGCACGCTCGGACCAACCTTCACTCAGACTCACCCACACTCAGACCCATTCACACTTGGACGCACTCATGGTGAGCCTCACTCATGCTCAGACTCACTCACGCACAGACCCGCTCATAGCCAGACTCACACACACACACACTCAGACTCACTCGCACTCAGACTCACTCACGCTCAGGCCCACGCATACTCTAGCCTCAGCCTCGTCACACTCATTCTGAAAACCACTCACATTCAGACACGCTCCAACTCAGAATCATTCACACTCAGACTCACTCTTATGAGGACTCACTCATACTCGGACGCATCCGTACTCGCACTCTCTCATACCGTACACGCTAGCTCAATCATTCCTCTCACTCATACTCAGACTCACTCTCACTCAAATCAATCACGCTCAGATCCACTCACAATCTCAATTACCTTGATTTGTCAATGATCCCTCACGCTTCGCTTGTGTGTTCGCTCATACTCCGTGAAAGAATCCAGAGGAAGAGGACGTCACTGAAGTCGTCGCTGTCGTCGTCGTCGCGCCCATCGTCTACGCGGCCTCGCTCTCACATCCAGATGCTCACAGGCAGACTTCCCCAACGAGGCATGACAAGAATGTGAGATGCGCATCTGGGAATATCCGCGTCTAGTGGGTACGGTATGATCCTTCGAATAATTACGAATATAGTCTTATTGGTGTCATGCCTCCGCCTCCGCCTCCTTCCTCCTCCACTTACACTCAGACTCACTGAAACTCAGACAAACTCATACCCAGACTCCCTCACAATCAGATCCACTGATACTCAGACTCACTTTAACGCAAACCCACTCATACTCGGACCCGCTCATACTCTGACTCGCGAACAGGACACGTGCCTGTTCGCGCTCAGATTGACGGGATGTCTCATGCGGTTCGCTTGTTTGGTGGCCCAACCCCCTCTCCTTTTAGAGGTCCATGCTCATCGCAATGTGGCAGGCGTGGTATTTCAGCACTCCACGGAGGAGCCGCCGAGGGGTAGGACATGTGCCTGCTCGCGCCCAGATTGTGGGGATTACTCACGCGGTTTGCCCATCTGGTGGCCCATTTCTATTCAGAAACCCATACTCGCAGCGATGTAGCAGGATTGAGCAGGAATGCGGATATGTCTCACGCGGTTGGCCTGTGTGGTGGCCGGACTACTCTCGTTTCACAGCCCCATGCTCATCGCGATGTAGCAAGCGTGGCATTTAGACACTCCAAGGGGGAGCCGCGATGGGTAGGACATGTGCCCGTCCGCGCTTGTGGGGAGTTCTCAAGCATGTTGCCTGTCTGGTGACAGAGACTACAGCAGATTGTTCGCGAACAGATTGTGGGGATGTTTCAGGCGGTTTGTCTGCCTGCTGGCTTGAACCTCGGATATCCCCTTAACGTCGACAACTGCGACGACAGGGATTTCGACGTACGAGAATTCTAGCGACGACCGCGGCTTCAACAAGAGATCTTGCGATGAGCTTCTAAGGCACGCCGCTTGCGGCGTTGACGGTGAGGCCGACGCCACGTGGAGCAAGCTTCTCAGCAAGATTTTGCGGCACAAGTTCGAGGAGCACCAGTTGGCCTGGGACGGCAGCGGGTTCCCACGCACTGTTAGCTTGTTCGGAGTTCAAGTAATAGTCATTCGAAGCCATGCAGAGGGTGGTAGACACCAGCGTGTCGAAAAAGAACGGGCACCGGTTCCACCTCGACTACGCAGGGGTGCCACGACAGAAATCGAACGGAGAGCCAGCAGGAGGAAGGACGAGCAGGAGGAGAATTCGGTAGGCTCTGATGACGGCACAGCTGTTGAAGGTAAACCAGGTTCACCAAATAATGGTCCTGCTCCTTCGTCTCCACTTCCGGTCATCCGTCCGACATCTGTAAAGGGTGTAGGGGCGTGCGGACCACGCACCACCAGTCCGAGGGTAAGAAGCAGCAGGGCGGCAAGAAGCGGAGCGGCGCAGTGGAACAGAAACAGCTCGGGTATTGCTAGAAGTGCCCCTGGCCCAAGGTGCCCCCAGCTCTTCGCTCCATTTTGGAGCCCCTGGGGCCCTCTGGGCCTCGTGAGGGGTGCCCTGGAGGCCGTCTGGGCCAGGCCGAGAATCCTGGGGGTACCTGGGGCCAGGGGTACTTCTAGCAACACCCAAACAGCGCCGCCCCAAGCGCCGTGCGAACAATAAGCGCCGCGCGAGAGCCGAGCAAGACAGCGACCCGGCAGCACAACTCTGACCAGGCAGAAGGGGGACCGCGGCGGACCAACACAACTCAGACCAGGACGACTGTGGCGTGCTCTGCACTGGGAAGGACTTCTGTGGAGCCTGCGGCTCAGACAGGGAGGACGCGGGCCAGAAGTCCTGCAAGTACTTCGGACATGCGTTGGAGACGCAGAGCAGACACACAGTCAGAGCGCCCACGCGGCGCATTCATCGTAACCCGAAGCCATTGGGGGCACGTTTCCCTCGAGACCCTTCCAGGTTCGCCAGGTAGAAGCTTCGCGCAGCGGCTGGCGACAAAATGTACACCTCAGATCCTGGCGCGGGACTGGGCGTCGGGCGCCATTGGGGGCCAGCGCGAGAGGAAAGGGGAAGGAGAAGGGAGAGAAGAAGACAATTATTTGTGTGACACCTTCGACTCTTCACTGGCAGTTCGCCTGTTTCGGCGTCTAGGACTCTCCCCTCTTGGAAGCTCCATAATCACCGCGATGTCGAAGGCATGGCCCCCATGAGGGAGCCGCCAGGGGGTATGACACTTGCCCATTCGTGCACAGATTGTGGGGTTGTCTCAGGCGGTTCGCCTGTTTCGGCGCGTCCAGATTGTGGGGACTTCTCAGTGCAAAGCGTAGTCTCGGCACCCCCGACCCCTAACCTTTCCGAGCCCCAAGAACATCCCGATGTAGCCGGCATAACATCTGGGCACTCCAAGGGGGATCCGGCAGGGACCGATGTCGCCACAAGTCAAGATTCTCTTCCTCAGACACTGGCAGACGGGAGCGCCAAGAACTGAGAGGCACATTTGGGGACCCCCGCGTCGAATCATCTTCGCTCGTCCTCGAGGTTCGTTCTTCTCCCCTGGCCTCCCCCCGCGGCCTCCCCCC